GCGGAAGGTCGTTACGATCGGATAATTCACCAGAGCAGTCGTCGAGCATTGACGACTTCCCTTTTAGAGACGCTGTTTGAAATATTTCTTTTTAGCCCCGGGGGAATCATGAGACGGACTCGGTAATGCGACTGGTGTGGTACTTGCATGAGAGGGCCAGATTATGCGTGATTGATGGTTTCGAACCGATTCTGAATGATGAGGCCGCATGTAAAAATGCTCTAGGGAAGTGTCAGTGTTGTGTTGCAACAGATCCGCAGCGTGGGAAATTCCTCGCATTCCTATCGATTTTTCCTAACCTGCCCTCGAACGATTGGATCAAGCTTTGGAGAAACAAAATAATTAAATCAAATACATTCTCACGACTCTCCGAACTGACCCAACTTCCGAACGTGACTCCGAATGTGAATGAGCAAGAGTTTCGTCTTGACAGGTCTAAAAGGGGGGAGGCTTTTAACGGGTCAGTTCAATGCCTTTCTCGTTGAAAGGGAGGGACGTGGGTATTCTTTTTATTCTCCCTTTTTTAATGGTTTTTTTTTTCGTCTTACCTGATGTCGATTTCTACTCGGCACTTCCGGGGCTCAGGTTAGTGAAGGGGCTTGGTTATTTTCTGCCCGTCACGAAAGGATTCTCACGGATCGTTAGACTGGAACCTGAAGTCTCGGGTATGCTTTTCGTGTCTGGGGGACCATCAAAAGTCGGATCTGTGGTGTTGGGAAATATTTTTTTAATCCTGGAGTTTAAGGAGAAAGGCCACCGGGGAGAAGGACTGGTGCTCGACTCATTTTCGCAGGAAAACTCATTTTGGCTCCCGGATTTGCAATTGATTGAAAAAAAGAGCAGCGAACTCTTTTCCATAGTTGAATTTTTTTCTAAGATCTGAGAAATTTCAGGAAGAAATGTTGCCGTTCTTGCAGGGATTGGAAATTATTTTTTCCGAGTACACGAATTTTTAATTGTTTATAAATGGAAGCTTGGATTTATATGACTTTGGGATTTTATCGATATTTGACGGTTTCTTCTTATTAAATTTAAACGTTGCAGCGTTGAATTATTTTTTTTCATGTATTCTGGTAAAATACAGTGTCCCAAAATATGGAGAATATGCCTGGAGGGGGCCCCTCTTATCTCCCGGGCAGTTTTTCATTGTCCGAATAAAAATGCCTGGGCCTCCGTTATGCGTCGCTAATCGGACGAAGATCGCAGCAATGAGAACTTGCTCTTACACACAAAACTCCCTTCCCACCTGCTTTTCTCTCCCCCCACCTGCAATTTTTGGCCTTGACTCGCTGAAGATCTTGTTGAATTCTGCAGGGTTTGTTCGGACTTGACGGACTCTGACTTTTTTTTTCCCCGCCGCCAACATTCCCTTTTTGGCGATGTTTGTTCAGGGCAGTGTTGGCGAGCCAGGAATTCTTGGTCCAGTCCTTCGAAAGACCTTAGAATCAGCGGGGCGTGAAGAGAATTCATGGAAATGGGGGGTTTCCTTTTTTTTTTATTATTATCATGGACCAAATATCTGATGCCCCATTCGGAATTCGTTTCGCAATTTTTTCCATGCTTGAATCGTACTGAATGCTGCACTCGAATCGGTCTGACCTGCCTCGAACAATCGACTTGAAGCGTTTTTAGGCTGCACTCGACTGCCAAAATTCTGCCGTAGGGAAAGTGTCCAGAAAATAAATTTCCAAACAAATTCTAAATTTTCAACAATCCTTTTTTTTTTTTACGATTCGTACCATTTATCGACCACTTTCATGTAAAACGCCATTTATGCCTCGAGCAATTTTTGACGCATTTTTTCGGATTTTCAGGCAGTTTGTGCCATTTTTCACCATCGAATGGCGTGGCAAAATCAGGGTGGAGCTTTTAATCGCGTTTACTTTCATCTGTCTGGATTTT